ACTTGCTCTCTGCGCACCGCCTACTTGCTCTCTGCGCACCGCCCACTTGCTCTCTGTGCACCGCCCACTTGCTCTCTGCGCACCGCCCACTTGCTCTCTGTGCACCGCCTACTTGCTCTCTGCGCACCGCCCACCTGCTCTCTGCGCACCGCCTACCTGCTCTCTGCGCACCGCCCACTTGCTCTCTGTGCACCGCCTACTTGCTCTCTGCGCACCGCCCACCTGCTCTCTGCGCACCGCCCATTTGCTCTCTGTGCACCGCCTACTTGCTCTCTGCGCACCGCCCACTTGATCTCTGCGCACCGCCTACTTGCTCTCTGTGCACCGCCTACTTGCTCTCTGCGCACCGCCCACCTGCTCTCTGTGCACCGCCTACTTGCTCTCTGCGCACCGCCCACATGCTCTCCGAGCTTGCGCACTGGGCGCGGCCCCACCCTCTCGCCGTGCGTGCCGCCGGCGCACTCCGGAGCTGGCAGGGGTGGCTGCTTCCCTGGGCAGGTGGCCTCCTTGCGGGGCCGGAGGCGGGAGGAAGGCTCTCCCGACTTCTCCCGCCGCCAAAGAGCCTTAGCCATGGCCCCGAAGGATGCGGCAATCACCCCTGTTCAAAGCGCGCTGCCCGCAGCGGGGAGAGCCTGCTTCAGCTCCCGGCCCCCTCCCGAGGAGGCCACCCCCCACGCCCGCTTTCCCGGACTCATGTGCCAAACCCATCCGCGCGGCCTTTAAGTCATCCCGACTCAGCGACCCTGAAGGACAGAGTGGAACTGCCCCGTAGGATTTCCAAGGCTGTAAATCTTTGCACAAGCAGGCTCCCCTCACTTTATCCCGCAGCAAATAAAAATACTGGGCATGCAGATAAATTTGGATTTCAGATAAACAACAGATTGCTGTATGCTATGTATGTCCTGTGCGATATTTGGAGTATACCTAATACTCCTCCAAACAAGAAAAAAGTTCATCTGAAATTCAAAACTAGATTTTAAAACTGGATTCAAAACTGTATTTTATCTGGCAACCTGTCCCAAAGCATCTTTCTGTCCAATCCCAGGGGAGCCAGCCAGCTTCTCCTCACATTTGTCTCTGCACTAAAAATAGCAACTGTGGGAGCTGGCTTTCCTAGGCTCAGGTTGGCAGGAGAAGCTTGGGTTTTCCAGGCCTCTTCTCAGCTGAGAGGAAGTTGGTTCTGTAGTCTCGGCTGGTTGACCCGTGTTGGTTCAGCTACAAGCAGGGTATGAGGGGCTTGAGCCAATATATCCCTCACCCAATGAGCAAGGTTAGTACAGGCTTCTGGGCGCTTGCTTCTTAATCTGTAGTGAACAGAATTTTTTTTTCACCACATTGAAGATTTTGCTTCTAGATAATCGTTGACATAAGTGTCTCTCCCAACCCACTACACTATCCTACAGAATCAACACCTCTTCAAATTTGCAGTCTCTAGTGGGGGTGTTGTACCCAGAAGGAAGGTCCTTGAGTATTGGATAATCCACCCTGGTTTGAGTGCATAGCTGCTCATGATCTTGCAGCGGGATCCCTCTAGCAGCCAAAATATAACGATGGTGAAAGGTTTCTGCCTGGCAGAGTTGCCGGAACAGAAGGGCAGGGCTGGGTGTTAGCTGCTTTCCTTCAGGGAAAATTCTTCCACCCCAGCTCCAAGGAGCCAGAATTGGAATTGGACAGAACAGGCTGAAGAGTAGGCAGTGTGCCTGTCAGTATACAACCTCGGTACTACGCCAAAGGACGATTGAGACCTGAATCACACCCTGCTTGAGTCTGCTCAGCGCTCATGGTCTCTCGCCACTGCTGTTACCCACAGGTAGGCCTATGAGAGAAAAGCTGCCTCCATTTCTGGAAAATTCATCAAAAACACCATGTCAGGCCAACAGTTGAGGGCTTCTGGGAGTCTTCCTGTCACTCTAGTGCGTGTGTCTCTTTAGGAAGAGGAGTTGCTGAGGAGGGAGAGCTGGTTGTTGTTGGACTTACCTGGTTATTCATAGGCGTCACCTCACCACTGTGTTATGATTTCTCATTATCTTCACCATTTCTCCAGGGAGAAATTGAGGTGCTGAAGATGATTCTGGAAAATCCTTCCATTGAGACTACTGGCTCAGCAGAAAATGCCCCACCTTGAGAATGGAACTGGCCATAAAGGGTGGAGGTAGTTACCACGGGAGAAGTCCTTCAGGTTAGTCAGCTGTCTGGGCTTCCAGCCCTGGCCTTTGCTGGGAGCCTCAGGGATGGAGGTGAGTGGTGAACACCTATGGCCATGGAGAGGCAGGTGAAGGCTAATAAAGGTAGCCCAGCACACCGCCCTCCTTAGTGGACATGGGTGGAAGGAAGCCCTTAATATGAGGATTTGTTAGGAGTTGAATTTTGTCCTCTCAAAATACATGTTGTAAATCCTAACTTCTATACCTATAAAAGGAACCCTACTGGTATAGTGGGTTGTGTGTTAGGCTGCTAATTGAAAGGTTGGCCGTTTGAATCCACCACACGAAGGTTGACGCAGTCAGCTCTCTTTAAGATTTACGCCCTCAGAAACCCAGTGGAGAGCTGCCAGGAGTCAGAATTGATGTAATGCCAAGGAGTGGGTATACCTGCACAGTGGCTCTGAGTCAGAATTGGCCCAATAGCTGTGGTTTGGGGTTTTGTGTTTTTTTGTTATATTTCTGGATGTAATCCCATTTGGAAATAGAGTTCTCTTTGTTCATATCAGCGTAGGGTATGTTTTAAAGCAACCATTCCTGAGATCTAACAGTAGAAGATTAGGCACAGAAATAAGAATCACAAATAAAGACTGAAACCATGTGGTGATCGTCAAGGACCCAAACAAGAGATGCTGGAGAGATGAAGATTTGCTCCCAGAGTTAGCAGGGAGAACCTTGCCCTAGAGCCAGTGCCCTGAGTTGAGACTCCCAGCCTCCTAAGTTCTGAGCAGAAGCATTTCTGTTCTTTAAAACCATCGTCTTGTGATAAATATCTTACAGCAGCAGTAAGAAGTAAAGACAGCTTGCCTTCAGCACATTTAGAGCATAAACCTTTGTCATCCAATATCATGCCTTCCCAGGCCACTAGAACCAATGGCAGGCAGAGTTTGAGGGTTTGAGGCAGGCATATACTTTGGACATGTTGCTAAGAGAGGCTATTCCTTGGGAAGGGACACCGTGCTTGGAAAGATGGAGGGTCGAGGAAGAGAGGAAGACCTTCAACAAGATGAGTTGACACAGTGACTGCAGCAGTGAGCTCAAGTATGTCAGAGATGATGAGGATATCAGGACAGAGCTCAGGTCTGTTGTTCATAGGGTCAATATGAGTTGTACTCGACTCAACAGTACTTAAAAACAACAATAACAGCAAGATTTGGTGAGGGCTTGCTCTGTGCTCAGTTGTGCTCATGTGAAACCTAGGATCAAGAAGCTGTTGTCCGAACAGAGCAAGGGACTTCTGCATGGCTCAGAATCAAGAAAGGAGTGTGTCAGGGATGTATCCTTCCTCTAAACCTTTTCAATCTATAGGCAGAACAGATAATTTGAGGAGCTGTACTTTGTGAAGAAGGATGTGGCATCAGAATTGAAGGAGGACCTATCAAGAATCCGCATTATATAGATGACACAACCTTGCTCGCCAAAAGTAAGAAGGACTTTAAGTGCTTGTTGCAAAAGATCAAAGAATACAGCCTTCAATATGGATTGCGTCTCAACATCAAGCCAACAAAGATTCTCAGTAGGCAGTATTACAATAGATACAAAAAAGATTCAGTTTGTTAATGTTTTCATCTTGCTCAGATCTACCATCAACACTTTTGGCACCAGCAGTCAGAAAATCAAAAGATGAGTTGCCTTGGGCAAATCTGCTGTCAAGGACCTTTCCAGAGTGCTGACAAATAATGATATCAATTTAGAGACTAAGGTGCACTGGGTCCAGGCCATGGTCTTCTCAATTTGCTTGCTGTGCATCTGAGAACTGGACGATGACTAAAGATGACAGGAGAATAATCAATGCTTTTGAGATGGGTGCTGGAGAAGAGTGTTGAACATACCGTGGACTGCCAAGAAAACAAAGAGGTCTGTCCTGGAGAAGGGAAAAACCGAGTTGCTTGTTGGAAGCAAAGGCTTTTGAAGCTCTTGCTCACATACTTTGGATTTGTTTCCAGGAGGGACCAGACCTTGGAGAAGAACATCATGCTAGGAAGGGTTAGTGCAGAAGAGCAAGACCTTGGATGAGATGGATTGACACAAATACTGTGGCAAAGGGGTCAGGTCTATAGGAGATGAATGAAATTTGCCTAACTCATGTTAGTGGAATCGTAGAGCATTTGCCCTTTTTATGACTGGTTTATTTTACTCAGTACAATATCTTTAAGGTTCAAACACACTGTAGCTAGGAGTCACTGAGTACTATTCCTTGGTACATATTGTTGTTGTTGTTGTTATGTGCCATCAAGTCGATTAGGACTCATAGCGAACCTATGTACAACAGCCCTAAACCCTGCTCTTTGTTGTGCCAATTGCACTGCCTCTAACACCCCATCCTGATTACCCCAGTCACTGAATCAATCTACCTCATAGAGGGTCTTCCCCTCTTACACCATCCCTCCACCCTCCCAAGCATGATGTCCCTCTCCAAGGACCTGTCTCTCCTTACAACATGTCCAAAGTATGTCAGACGAAGCCCCAGAATCCTTGCCTGCAAGGAGCAGCCTGGTTTAACCCTCTCCAGGGTGAATCTGTTTGTTTTCTTGGCAGTCCAGGGTATATTCGGTATATTCTCTTTTCCAGCACCACAGCTCAAAGGCATCAATTCTCCTTCTATCCTCCCTAGTCACTGTCCAACTCTCCTATGCATAATAAGTGATTGCAAAGACCATGGTCTGTATCAGATGCACCTTAGTCTCCAGAGTGACACCATTGCTCTTCAGTACCCTGGAGAGTTATACCAAGCATCTGCTGATGGGAAGTTAGGTTGTGGCTAACCACTGTGTTGTGATTTCTCATTATCTTCACCATTTGTCCAAGGAGAAATTGAGGTGCTGAAGATGATTCTCCCATTGAGACTGCTGGCTCAGCAGAAAATGCCCCACCTTGAGAACTTTTTGCTATTGTGAATATGCTGTCATGGACATCAGTGCACAAGTTTCTGTTTGCCATCCTGCTTTTTCTGAGTATATACCCTAAACTGGTTCTGAGCCAAATCCAAGAGTTTGAATGGAACCAAAACATCCTGAGGAATGCTGCCAGTTGAGTTGAGGAGTGGCATTTTAGGGACTGCTGAGCTGTCTTTCCTTTTTGATTATGCCCTTTCTCTGTATTTAATTCCCAGACACTTCTTGTTATGTGCCATTAAGTGGATTGCAACTCCTATCGACCCTGGGAACAATAGGTCTGAACCCTGTCCTATCCTGTGCCATCCTCACAATCTCTGACACACTCGAGCCCGTTGTTAGAGTCACTGTGTCAATCCATCATATTAAAGGTCTTCCTCTCTTTCACCAACCCTCTACCTTTCCTAGCAGGATGTTCCTTTCCAAGTAATACTCTCTGAGAGCAGCATGCCCAAAGTATGTGAGACGAAGCTTTAC